CACACACACACACACACACACACACACACGTGCGCACACACGCATACACACACACACACACAGACACACGTGCGCACACACGCATACACACACACACAGACACACACAGAGAAAAAGGAGACACAGACACACACAGAGAAAAAGGAGAAACTGAAACTGTGAAATGGTGGATAAGTAGATGTTTCATAAGGTCTGGTGAGAGTGAGTCACCAATTATTGATTCACTGATTTTAATGAACAGGTCAATGAGCAACCATTTAAAGACTCAATGATTCAAATGATTTAAACGATCTGGTCAGAGTGAGTCACCAGTTAAAGACTCACTAATTCAAATGATTTGGTCAGAGTGAGTCTCCAGTTAAAGACTCACTAATTCAAATGATCTGGTCAAAGTGAGTCATTAGTTAAAGGTTCACTGATTCAATTAATCTGGTTAGAGTGAACCTCTAGTAAAAGACTGATTCAAGTTATTTGGTCAAAGCAAGTCACTAGTTAAACACTCACTGATTCAAATGACCCAGTCAGTGTGAGTCACCAGTTAAAGACTCAATGATTCAAATGATCTGGTCAGAGCGAGTCACAAGTTATAGACTCACCGGTTTAAACAATTTGGTCATTAGTGAGTCATTAGTTAAAGATTCACTGATTCAGTTATTCCGGTCAGAGTGAATCTCTAATTAAACATTCTCTGAATCAAATGATTTGGTCAGAGTGAGTCACTAGTTAAAGACTCACTAATTCAAATGATCTGGTCAAATCGAGTCACAAGTTAAAGACTAACCGATTTAAACAATTTGGTCATTAGTGAGTCATTAGTTGAAGATTCACTGATTCAATTAATCTGGTCAGAGTGAGTCGCTAATTAAACATTCTCTGAATCAAATGATTTGGTCAGAGTGAGTCACTAGTTAAAGACTCACTAATTCAAATGATCTGGTCAAATCGAGTCACAAGTTAAAGACTCACCGATTTAAACAATTTGGTCATTGGTGAGTCATTAGTTGAAGATTCACTGATTCAATTAATCTGGTAAGAGTGAGTCTCTAGTTAAACATTCTCTGAATCAAATGATTTTTTCAGAGTGTGTCACTAGTTAAAGACTCAACGATTCAAATGATCTGGTCAGAGCAAGTTCCCAGTTAAAGAATCACTGATTCAAATGATCTAATCAGAGCGAGTCCACAGTTAAAGGCTCACTGATTCAAATTATCTAATCAGAGCGAGTCCCCAGTTAAAGACTTACTGATTCAAATGATATGGTCAGAGCGGGTGACAAGTTAAAGACTCACAATTTAAACAATTTGGTCGTTAGTGAGTCATTAGTTGAAGATTCACTGATTCAATTAATCTGATCAGAGCGAGTTCCCAGTTAAAGACTCACTAATTCAAATGATCTGGTCAGAGCCAGTCACTAGTTAAACACTCACTGATTCAAATGATTTGGTCAGAGCAAGTCATCAGTTAAAGATTCACTGATTCAAATGATCAGGTCAGAGTGAGTCACCAGTTAAAGACTCACTGATTCAAATGATCTGGTCAGAGCGAGTCACCAAGTAATAACACCAATACCTTCTGTGAATTCTGAATGATGGTAATCGAGTACCGTTTTTGTCCAAGCAGTTGGACTCTGACTGCTTCTTGCCGATGTCAGCGAAAGAGCGGACGATGGGGATCCGATTGGCCAGTTTCTTCTGGTTCTGATGATGGTGCTGCTTTAGAAGAGCCTCCTTCACCTTCTTCCTGACATCGTCTTCAAGATGACCAGCCACTTCCTGTTGGTCCAGTATCATATCTAAAAACATCCAATACACAACAGTACAAAAGGAACATATAATTATTATATGTAGAACATACATTATATGTAACTTAACATTTAGATATTAATACGGTACACATTAACATTCGTTAATTAATTAATTCATTTTCTTTTCAGCTTAGTCCCAGTGATGACCCCAGGATTCCAGTTTGGATGTGGCAGATCCTGATTGGGTGCCTGGTTGCTGGTTGGTTTAGATCATATAAATAAGAGTGATGTGCTAGCTTCTGGGGGACAGTGTGCCTACTTGGCCACCCTCGTATCAAGACCATCTCTTTATTTCTGCAACCTTAAGGTTTTGTTTGGCCTTATTTATATGTGTAGTTAAAGTTAGTTATTTTCTTTGTTATTCCTAGACATTTGTTCCTTGATTTGTTGTTCTATTAAGTTTCATGTAAAGTAAATAAGTTGCATGTATATTATTTTATTATCTGAGCTCTTATATGTTGCGACTCGAACGAGGGGTTCGTAACAGTGCCTTTATTAATCTGGGGTCGCCACAGCGGAATGAACCGCCAACTTATCCAGCATATGTTTTACGCAGCGGATGCCCTTCCAGCTGCAATCCATTCACACACATACACTACGGCCAATTTAGCTTACCCAATTGCCCTATGGCGCATGTGTTTGGACTGTGGGGGAAACCGGAGCACCCGGAGGAAACCCACGTCGATACAGGGAGAACATGCAAACTCCTCATATAAATGCAAACTGAACCAGTGACCTTCTGTGAGGCGATTGTGCTACCTACTGCACCACCATGCTGCCCACTACTTATTTTATGTAAAAGGTTATCCGAATGCAATGCCATAAGAGTGACCCCATAAGGTAACTTACAGTGCACACACTATGTAATGTGTGAAATTGTGAATGCATGTAAGCGCAATGATAACTCATCCTTTAAATGTCCATGCTTAATCATTAATAGATATGGTCTGGATTTGCAGGGTTATCAACAATGTTTGTATATTTTTGGCTTGGAACAGCCTTCTGTTAAACGATTTTTGTGTTCATCCTTGCTACAGGCAAAAAACTAAACAAAAAAAAACCTAACAAACACACAAATAAGCTTCATTGAAATCAAATCTATGAAGTATCGGCAGGGCCGGATTAAGAACACATTGGGCCCTGGGGCTAGAGCAAATCCAAGAGCCCCCCTTTTCATTTTTTACCTCACAAAAGT